TATTTTCATAAAGCTTCATTTTTAATACCATGAAATGAAAATCTTTAATGTTTAAATTAAAACATTGTTTAATTTACTCGGAATTCGTTTCATGCGTTTTTCATTTAAGTATACTTTAGATTTTATATTCACTGCAATAATTAATGAATAATATCTAATATATTTTTTATTACATTTGTAATGTGAATTTCAAAGAAACGGGATATCATTTACAAAAAAAAAACAATTATAAGATTACATTATATTTCAATTAATAATATTCAGAACTTTTATCATTTTCGAAAAAAAAAATATAAATTTCTTGTACAATTGAATGCAGCTAAACACATATTTATAACATTCAGAAACGACAAAGTTACTTTTCTTTAAATAAGATTGTTTGGATCACATTACAAACATGAAAATCGTTTAACACCAAACCACTTTTTTTGAATAATGTATAGAATAGGATATTTTCGCCTACCTCAAAGATAAGAATTCGAACCTAATTGTTAAATTGATCATAAACGACATGTCTTTTATGTTAATCTCCACAAAAAAGAATTTATACCATTATATGGATCAGTGCGTTCATAACACAAATATAAAATGTTTTTCAGACCTGTATTTGAAATAATATTTTTAAAAACATATAAAATTTTATTAACACTTCTATTAAAGTCACGTTGCAGAACAGATATCGTGATCAAATTAATTACTGCAATAAGCCAGGCGATTAATTTCCTAGTAATTTAGCTTATAATTGAAATTACATGGACACTCCTAATTTGGCTTTGTAAAGTGACCTCGATAAAATTGTAAAAAATGTATAATTATAAAAAAGATAGTGTTTATTCTGATTGGATTAATGGATAACTATGATCCTTTCTCTTGAGTTCTGTTATTTTTTAAATTTATAAAATCATATTTATTTATCTGTCATTTTTATACATAATAAATTACAATCATTGATGTTTTATGTTTATTCCTCATATATTTCTATAACTTCCTCATTTCATGATTTATTTAATATATATTAGGACTAGTAAAAACTATACCTAATATATATATATATATATATATATATATATATATATATTAAAAAAAATCATGAAATATGGAAGATACATCACATAAAAAATGTGATCTCATTAGAGATCATCAATTTTGATTATATGATACTTACACATGAGCCAGGTATGTCTTATAGGTAGAGGCAAGTACCTATCATACTTAGGTTAGTTCTGTTAGATGAAAAAGCAGACGAAGTCAGTTTTAAAATATTAAGTAGTATTAGTAGTAAGAAGTAAAGAACCAACCAATGGGCATAAATTTTCAACGTCATAACTATATTCTCAAAAGTTATCACCAATTACGCACTTTCTGAGCAAATCAGGACCAACCTCAAGTTGCTGAAAAGATCATCAGCCAATGGTTCTTTAGATCAGAAGTTTCAGAACAAATTTTGCTGATACACATCAGAAACATCTGAAAAAAGCATGAACATGATTCCTCAGGAATTTCAATATAGATATTCGTAGTTTCTTCGATGTTAGTATACTTGAGCATCTTGGGAGAGTTTGTATCATCAGCTAATACTTTTTACCTAGAGTGATGTGATGACACGTTTTAAGTATTTTCAAAACTTTCATTCCATGTGTTCAATATGTTGATTTATCAATTAAAAGCTAGGTATGCTATGTATTTGAAATTTAAATCAAATTTTGCGGGTATACAAAACAACAAAAAAAATCGATATTTCAATGAACTTTATCCGCAAAACACTTTTATGATTTTCTTATCATACTTCGTATGTAAAGGATATGTCAAATTACTTCTATTAATTATTTTACATAACTCCACTCCTGTGCGAATGGAAACGAGTTCAATCGTGATGTTTGCAATCAATGGGGATGATAATGCTCCAAATACTTGCGGACCTTAGTGATGTTGGCCTCTTTTTTTGAAAGAAAATGATATCACAATGGAAGCGACACGATGCGACAGGTAAGGTCCGTTGCCGACAAAAGCACAAAGCACCATTGTGGTACAGATTTAGTGAAGTCAGACAAGTGCTTAAAAAAGCCGATACAAGGACACCCACGGCGAGAAAGCAAGGGTGGATAAACGGATGTGATCCGAAGGACAACGAATATGGAGAAACCTAACTGTATCCTGGATAGGAAGATATTGATTCATATATAAAATATTTATTTATTTCATTCAGTTACTTGAGAAAATTTATCAAGGTTAAGAAATGGCCGAATTTTGAAATAATTGAAGATAAGCAAATCCTTGCTATTTCACGCGACACTCATTAACACGCCATCATTTTATTTATATTATTATTATTATTATAGTCATTAAAATATAACTCTATTGTTTTCTTTATTTTTCTTCTATATTATTAACTTCCCGTATATACATAAAAAAATCAAAAATATTTTTTTTGTATATTTTTACTTTTCAAAGTTTTCTGAAAATTTTGGCATAATATTTGGAGTGTGCGTGTGCGTTCGTATGTGTATGCGGATACAACTTTTTGTCGACGATTTGAGAATACGGATCAATCAATTTGAATGATTTAAAAAACATGCATTCCTATTGGCGGTTAGACGTGCTCATTAGTTTTTCAAAAATATATTTTATTCAAAGTTTTCAAAAAAATTAATTTAAATTTATTTTATTTATTGTACGAAAAGTTCCAGCAATTTGTCTTTAAATATGATCTCATGCCCCACTAGTTTATTGAGTTTTTTATATTCTTTTTTCAACTTCTCGTAGGGTAAGTTATAGTAATGGGCCAAAACTCGAAAATGAAAATTTTTGCATATTTTTACATTTCAGAGGTTTCGAACACTTTGGCATTCCTCAAAAAAATGGAGTGTGTGCGTGTGTGTGTTTTATGTGTTCGCATTTTTGTCCGCGTTTTCGGACGCACGGATCAACCGATTTTAATGGTTCAAAAAACCTTCGATTCTTATTGATAGGGAGATATGCTGATTAGTTTTTGGCAAAAGCAGGTCCAGCCATTTTGGAGACACGGAGCATAGAGTGCAGAAAGAAGAAATCGAGTTTTTGAGAGAACGGAGCATCCGATTTGAATGGCCCAAAAACATTCAATTCGTAATGGCGGGGAAAAGTGGTGATTAGTTTTTGGCAAAGGCAGGTCCAACCGTTTAGGAGATACCGAGAAAAATATGCAAAAAATGACAGTTTTTGAAAGAACTAAGCATTTTGACCAATTTGAATGATCCAAAATCTCGTGTTGAGGAAACGATTACTTTTGGGATTTTTTTGTTACAATTTCAAAAAAATCCAGCCATACTTCACTAGTTAAAAAAAATTATACGAGTAATATCCATATTAAAAGAAAAAATAAATAATATTCATTTTGATTATTTTGAGGCATTGTTATTCATATATGATAAATACTAAGATCATTTCATGTTTATGCTAATTCACACATAAATCCAAATATTATTCATCATTCTAATAATATTTATTTCACAGTCATCTTGGCATATTTTCAGAATCCATTTAATGATTTAATCAAGCAACACAAAAAGAGAATTGACTTTAATGTAATAATCTCAGTGTTATAAGCATATTTTTGTATGTAGCTTTATGAGGTTTATTTTAATAATAAACCCATTTTTATATATTTCTTGTACTCGGCATTTATTATTAATTAAAATCGTACCTTTGGAATAATTAATTAAATTGTTTTGGATTGGTTTTTGGACTTTTAAATCGTGTGGGCCACATATGATGTGAACATTTATTTTTATTTTGCATCCTCTTCAATATTTGTTGGTGTTTCGAATCGTGTGGGCAACATATGATGTGAACATTTATTTTTATTTTGCATCCTCTTCAATATTTGTTGGTGTTTCGAATGTTTAAAGTTTGGTTTTTGTATTACATTAAAATTTATACATTTATACATTAAAACGTAAAAAAATATTTTCCTTCTAAATGAAGTATGTGGATGTTTTATTTCACTAGCTATTTCTGGACTTTATATGAATATATATATGCAGGGTGTTCCAAAATTTTACGTCAAGTTGAAACGGGGTCATAGTATTGACCTTAACTGTCCTGAAAATTTTTTTTTAAAAAATATCTCACGTTGTTTGGAAATTTTAAAACCAGAGTAAAAAATAAAAACACAATTACCCAAGGTTTACAGGAATTAAAACTTTTGATTGAACTATGAGTTTAAAATTTTTAAAAAAATATACTAAAGTATATTGGAAAGTTTCATCAAATGTTGGCGCATTTAATCATGGTTATATGTGAGCAATTTCGAGTAAAAACATGAAAATCTAAAATTGACATGATTTTTGCTAGTGCATTTTACTCACAATCAGTTCAAATGTTTATTCAAGCTTTAATGTGAGAGATAGAAACATTTGAGTAGAATGTGAGCGAAATGCATCAGTCGTTATCGAGTACTTTTTTTACTCGAATTTTTTTAATAATAAAATTATCATCATTATAAATTTGACATTTTGCAGTTTTGATTAAAGCGCAAACTTTTGATGATACTTGCCAATACACTTCAGCCTTCAAGGGAGACGACCAATTTTAAAAATTTTAAATTCATAGTTCAACAAAAAGTCTTAATTCCGGAAAGCACGGGGCAAATATGTTATTATTTTTTACTATGGTCCTAGAAATATTATTTACTCTTATGGTTCCAAAGATTAGATGAACTAAATTAAAAAAAAATTAACCACAATAACCAAAACATGGTCATAGTTTCACCAAAACTCTAAGTTGCACTTAATAGCTTATAATTTTCAAACATCATGAGATATATTTTTTCCAGGACAGTTAAGGTCAATACTATCATCCCGTTTTGGTTTGACGTTAAGTTCTGGCACACTCTGTATATATGTATATATTTATATATGATATATATATATATATATAAAAATATATATATATATTTATATATATATATATATATATATATATAAATATAAAGAGCCGGCGAATGTATGTTATATGAAATGTTATAATTGCTCACCGCCCAGAATGCCGTGTATCGTGTAGTCCTTCCTGCAGTCCGGGTCGTCACGGGCGCGTGTGCCAGCCGTACTGGAACCGCCGCGCAGCAGTCGACTGATGGAGGACACGCTCGGCGGGTCGGGCACTCCTTCCTGCGCCGGCAATGTTCGAAAAACAATGTCAAATTAAACAAACAATCATTCGAAGTTATTCAGTTATCATAAAGTTTCAGTTATCATTCAGTCATTTTAATTAAAAGTTTCTTATTTGGATCAAGAATTTTCTGAATGGCAAAATTTCGTGATATGTCTCAAGTATAATTATTGAAAATTAGCTCTAAATCTCAAAGTTAATTATTTTAAAAAAATTCTTTCAAAGAAAAGCTCCTTATTTACTGTTCTAAATCTACGTACTGTTTAAATTCTAATCTGTTATGCAAATTTTAACATAGTGTGGGATACCTTAGTAAGAAGGGGGGTTGTGCACTTTTTTTGAGCAACCATAATTTTACTAATTTACCAGTTAGCTAGGAGAAAAAAAACTAAATGGTAATTTAAGCATTTGACTTCGTGGAAATAATAATAAACCGTTCACAGCCCCAGGACGGTTGTGACAGGTATAAATATAAGGTAAAAAAGTTTTTCTTTTATTGAATTTTACTTTTCCTTTTTCTTTCGTATTTTTTTTGTTCAGTTAGTTTTAGCTTTATCTGTTTATTCTTCACCCAGAAAGGACAATACTACCAACGCGTGTCACAATCGTACCCAACGTACACTTTTGAAAACAAATCATTGTTATGACTGAGCTAAATTATGTACGCAAAAACTAATTGCTATTAATTAACTACTAATGTTCAATTTTCAGCAAAATAACAAATAAAGTGATCCATCTATATACAAATAACAGTTATTATTAAAAGAATTTGAACAAATAATTTATTTTTAACTTTTTAAAAGTAATGCGGCCTACAGATCATTTTATAGGGAACTTGTTCAAACAAACATACTACACCTCAGTCTCTCTTTAGACCCCATCTTAATATCAGTATAGTATCTATCACTACTGTATCCTGGCACAACCGTACCCAGTTTTCTCTACCAGTGAAATTGTGACATATTTAATTCAAAGATAATACAAATATTCTATTAAAAAATTACAAAAAATATTTAAATTAAAACATTACCAGTATAATCGAATTCAATACTGTTAAGTTAATTTTATAAGTTTTGTTATTTTGAGTTTAAAAGAGTATGTAGGATCAAATAATTATTTATTTATTTGATGATGAAATCGTTTTTGTTTATAATATTGAGTATGAGAAAATGCAGGAAAATCGTGAATTCTCAAATTTTAACATTTTTATCTTTCGATTGGATAAAGTTAAATGATAGAAAATATTAAACTTCAATTAAAACAAAATAGTTAGTAGTATAATCAGATTATTAGAGAAGTTTTTTTTTTTTTTTGTTATTACTGTGAAACTTAGTGAAACATATATTTGTTGCATTCCAGTTAACTTAAAAAAATTCTAATCAAAATCGCATTTCTGAATCTATTGAATAATGAATGTATGAATTTAGTAGAAATTTCGATCGCAAATTCACTTAAGGTGTGTATAATGATATATTTATATTTATTGAACTAGCTATATTATTCGGAAATACAAGTCGATAAGTAAATGGCACACGAACGTAGTAATAAATATAGCAAATAACTAAATAATTCTAGTAGAGTTAATGTAATATTGACAACTAGTTTCCTATTTTATGCTATTGCAATTGTTAATAGAATTTATATATTGAGTTTATTTATTGAATGTTATTCGCGTCTATATAATAACTGGTATATTGCATAATATTTATGAACGTATTTTGTCGATATTTATGCGTTATAATTGAGTGGGTGTTCCGATGGCATAAAGTATTAAGAGAAACACTTTTCTTTCCAAGTTTTATTTGATTTGGTGAATTATTACAAGTAACTTTTGCTAAATACATTTTCAACTAGCTATATAAAAGCTAGTTAAAGTCAAACCAAAAAATTGAAGCTCAAAATATATTTATTAGGAGAAACTATACTCAAAATATTGGTAACAAATTTTCAAGATATAAAACATAATTATGATTATGTTATTAAAATATATTTTCCACTAATCATGAATATTTTATAATTTTTTAAGGGCAGTCTTTCTTCTGTAACCATAAATTGATATAATATTTTCATTCACTATTTATAAAAAAATTAATAATAAAAATACTCAATTTGAAGTTTATAAATAAATATTCATGTGTATGAGTACTTATAATCAGAAGTGTTTAGTTTGATTAAATAGTATTTATATATGTTTTAAACTTATATTAAACATCGATATTATTTTAATGATTCACTTCTTATATGTAGAAATTGAGAATCCTTAATTAATCATCTTGACTAGATTAGGCAATTTGTTTTAAAGATTAATATGTGCAAAATGGTCCACATTATGATTCGATTTTTTGTAAATATTGGTGTGTGAAACATATTTGTTTTACTAAATTAGATTTGATAAGTAACACTAATCTTAACAAAGATGTTCTCAAGCAACATCATTTTTGGTTAATAATAGTGTTAGTACAATGCATATTTATACCATATCGAATAGCTTTTGATCAAACATTTTAGAGCAGTTCCAACTGTTTTCTCTTAATAAAATTAGTTATGTCGCAAACATTTTCTCCATTAGAAAAGTCTGTGGATTGTTCAACATTGCGAAATATTGATCACTTGGTAAATTTGGTCAAATAAAATCATCAAATAGGACTAATATACCCAAGGAAATAGATAATTCTTCATATACAATATGAAGAATAAGACAGCAATCAAGCGTAAGAAAACAATTGATACAAAGGCTTCTTTTTTAATACATTGTAAAGAGTATGCACTCATTTGTAATAATTGTAAATAATATTATAAACCACTATAATGATCAGAATACAAACAACGCAGTTTGTAGCGAGTTACTCATATGCTACAACATTGTAAGCTCGAGATATCCTTGACAAGCCCAGCGAGCATTAATAAAATTCTTTTTTAAGCCATAAATGCGCAAAAACAGTGAGTTAAGCTATTGCGTTGCACTACACCACGACATTAAACAAGTCGCAAAATAATGTTATATAGGATTTCAAAGTCACATTGAAGCGAGCACACAAAAGGTCTGCAATGACGCATTTGCAGTCAGTCGTAGTTTAGTTTTCTATAAATTATGAGTTAAGATGAGTATGAGTTTATTCGTCGTTCAAGTTTCATACTTTAATCATACTCAATTATTCAGTTGTTAAAGTTGTGTGTGAAGTGTACGAGAAATCATGAAATAAACAAATACATCAAACGCCTTCGTCTGTTTTACTGACCAGCCTCCACAGATTGGTAACAGCTTTATTAGCAGCAGAAAGAACCTACAAATAGTTGGCATCGTCGGTAGACCTTCTACACAGAAAGGGGTGTCATTGGTGGTTCCAGCATTACATGGTGACAGCGGTAAAAACCTAACCATTATATGGTGGTGCAATGTTAGCACAATAATCTATTTATACTATATCGAGTGGTTAATAGTCCATTTTTGTGCATTTCAACTTTAATTCAGAACACATGAAAATTAGTAGTGTAGGAAACATTTTCTCTATGAAAGAGATTGTCCAATAATGTGCATCTACTCGGACATTTGGTCTAATAAAAGTCACACACTCGGGCTCTCCTGTGTATTAGTGGTTAGAGCTATGGTATTTCAATTAAAGCCTACGTTCGGTACCTGCCTCTGCCTCTGGTACCCTGATATCAAGGAGTAGTGATATTGGTTTTCTGTTTGAAATACTCTTTACTCAGCAAAATTAATAAAAAAAAATCATCACATCATAGAGATAGAGTAATTGTTTCGTTCTACAAAACTGACGTAGTTGAGTCAAATAATCAAAACAGCTCGTAGAATCCTCGAGTTCTTCTGATCGCTTAAGTTTAGATTGAAAAAAAAACAGACACGGCCAAGGACAATGGATTTCTCCATAGCCAATAGAAACAACCAAAGCAATTGATGCAAAGCCTCTGTGTTAATATCTACTTAAACCATATCGAGTGGTTTTAGTCAATCATTTTGGTGGAATTCGAATATAATTCTCGAATACGTGCTTTGCAAAAATGAAATCGTTCCTTTGCCTCTTTAACACTTGGCCCTTCCGGCTGCATCGTTTGTTTACCAATAATACAGCAAGAGCTCATTGAGATTACACGGTGCGGTTGCGTTGCACGCCGATGCCGATATATCAGATTGTAAATTGTAAATATTCCGACCATTGCACGGTAGCGAGCATTCTAACGATTCCCGTTCCGCCTTTTGAAACTCCATCATCAATAACCATGGTTCGAAGATATCACCAATGTAGAAACAATATTTGGTAAAAATAAATGAAAGAATAAGGGGGTGTCCATTAATTACGTGATTGTTTTTTTAAGGATTTTTAGACTCCTCCTCTCACCTTGGTGATACGTGGTTGTTAGCTATATGTAGAGGGCGCTATGCTATTGCATGACATATAAACTAAATAACAAAACAAAAAGAGCGCGCGTAAGGTTCACACGCGATTGAAGTAAAACTTATTGCTACTATACAAGATGACATTTAAGTAAAAATAAATACATCATATAACAATTTTGAATAATGGTTATTGGTAATGTGGTAATACTCGTGATGCACACATATTTATTATTGTCAACCATTATACACATTAATATAATGATAAATTATAAATTATATATTTATAATAGCATTAAAAATATGTACAATATTTAAAAACAATAATGTAATTGAAGTTATACTTCAAGTGTGACATGATCGGTTTGTCATTGTAATTAGCATTTAGAAATAAACCTTCATTAGAGAAATGAACTAATTGCTGATTAATAAATTCTATAAAATTTGTTCACAAAGTGGATTATGTTAAACAACGCCTAAACAAATATTGTTTTCGCAACTTCACTCATCGTGTAGTTGTGTTTGAAGAACTTCATGTAATAAAATTAACATACATTTTGCTGACAATACAAGCTCATTGTTTGAGTAGCTGTAATATCTGTCTTGCCTATAGAAATATTTTCCATTTTAAAAACATCAAAGATTTATAGAAACTACGAATAATATAGAAATAATTTCTAATCAATAAGCTTATTAATTATTAATCTTATTAATCAATATTTTCAAGGAACCGGGTAAAATATTCTTTTGATTTAGGCATTTTTCATTAAATCAAGATTTTTACTACGATGTAACTTTAAAATGTTTATTCATCTATGTCAATTTCCTTGTTGATATCGGTACGCATACAACGACAGATCTCTTTTCACATACACGACGCTTAATCATAATCGACCCGTATAGAAATTATATCATCGAGAGCGAATGATGAATCATTGGCACTCGACTCTTATTTTATCTTATCTGCTGTAACACACTTCCGTTGCATTACGGATTTACAACCTAGTCGCGCCTAAAGAAGTTTTACTTCAATAATATGTGGTGAAAAGATTATATATTGTGATAGACAAACAGCGACATATAGAGATGAATATTGTTGAGAGTGTAATGAGAGACTATAAATGAGTAATTACAGATGAGGTGTGTTAATAGAGACGAATGAAGTTAACATGATGATATTTAAAATTACCTTCTTTTCCCCACTTAACATCACGTATATTTTTAGTTCTTAGAAAAAACATTAAATTTAAAAAAAAATCTGAAAAAATTGTAATATTTTTAAATTTAATGGTTAAACTCGTTAATAAATGGCGAACACGATAGCTTTCAATTTTGTTAGTTTTGTTACGTTATGCTAGTTGAAATGCATCTTTGGTATTAGTGCTAATCCTCGAAATTATCTCTAGCAAAATATCCAAATATTGACGTCCAAAAAGAGTTTTTTAGGTCATTTGCACCTACATCATAATCAGATCTGGTGTGTGGGCATGTTTATAAAAAATTCAATTTTATGTCCACGTTTTCGGATCAACCGTTTTGAATGATTCAAAATGCTTATTGAATTCTGCGAATGTGAAAAGCCTAATGGTCTATAATAATTGGAAAATATATTTATATATAAGCAATTTGCCTTAAGATATTAAACCACTGACTTGGATTGAATTCTAAATCAAACAACTTATCAAATAATAAGAGAAGGAACAAGCACCACCTATATGCTTTTCAACAGAGGTGAAACTTTTAAATTTAGAACATCAAATACCTAAACTGTTTGTGGCTGTTTAAAAAATACTAGATATTAAAAAATTGTGCGATTATCGATATTTATATAAAATTTAAGTTTGAATATTCGATTTATCAAAGCATACATTGAATTAAAGGAAAAACAAAAATATCAAGTAGCTATGCTCAGTTTCAAAAACAAATTTTATCTAATCAATATAACAAAAAAAAGAAAAAATTAAAAACCTAAAAAAACGCATTTTTTTTAATATTATAAAAAAATTGTAACTATTGTCAAGCTGTATTTGTGGGCAACGTATGTAAGTAAATTAATTTTAATTAAATTTAAATTTAAAACTGATAAGCTGACTTGAAATTTTGGGCCAGTATAGTAGTCAAACGTCAAGTTAGCATATCGTTTCATACAAGATAATAATAGGAATACAATGATTAATAATTACTATTATAATTTCAGGAAGCACATCAATTGAATTTTATATATCGGACGTCTATAGATTTTTATTTTTATAATTTTTGACATACTTGGTAAATTTATTAATTGCAATTATTTTATCAATTATTATAATTACTTATCCACGGTTTATGTTTCAGAGCTATTTATCAAGACCAATGATTAATGATACTAGAAGGAATTAAATAAAAAATGTAAAAATGTAACATTTGTGAAATTGTATGAAAAAAATTGCATAATGTAACATTTAACTGTAAAAATAAGTACAAATATAATCTGGTGATGTAATTATGTAATTTTAATGTTAGAGGTTTAATTTTAATTAATATTATTGAAGGTAAATCAGTAAAAGCTAATCTTATTTCAAATATAAAAACGATTGCCAGAAACAAAATTTCTAATTTTTCATTGAAATTAAAATAATATATGTATGTATGCTCATACATACTTTTACTTTTTGAATATACCTGCTTCTATATGAAAGCCTATGTTAGTTAGGAAGCTAAAATTAATTTTGAAGTTCAATTTAAAATTCTAAAATTTGACTCGAATAGTCAAAGTTAAGTTTTTTGGTTTGAAACCAAAATTATAGATAATCATTTACTATATTCGAAGATAAAACTAATTTTGGCGTGTTGAGTAATTCTAATAATCTAAGGGACATAGAAAATTCCTTATATACAATGTATATGATAATACAATAACCAAGCATAAATGAACAATCGAGACTACAAGCTTTATTTCAAAATTAATAAAAAATCAAAATCTACTCTTTATTTTATTAAAAAACAAACATAAAACCAATAAATTGGACTAGAATTTAAAAAAAATAATAAATTGGATATTCTCTGATTTCTAAGGCAAAATGGTACTTACATCTAATTATTTTACTTACAATACAAGTTACAACAATAGTTTGATTTTTCATTTTATAATAGAATAAACATCGTTTACGCCATTAAATTTTTTTCGCAGTTATTGAACTTATGAATAATATAAGAGTTACAATTGATACTAAATAGAATATCATTTACTCTAAATGTCTTAAATATCCTAATTACTACTTATTGCAGTTCACTTATTAGATGATGTATAATAAGCCAATCTATTTACATACAATCAGAACATGTTCATAAATATTTATAGACGAAGGTAGATATTTATGTTCACCAATTATTTCATTAATATATTTAAATCAATTTATCCATAAGCGATAATTATCATTAATAATTATACGTCTATATAGTAAATCTATATTTATACAGTAGCTCATGCGTTCAAAGTTCAACCCTGCTCTCTTGGTTAATTACAGGTTGCGCGTTACTATGAAATTGCGTTTGATAATTAAGAGATGAAGCAAATAAATAAGACGGTTCAGGAATATTTTAAAATTCCCTCATGTACAACTTATATTGTATTATGTAACTTTATCGACAGTGACTCAAATTGTGTCAAGAGATAAACATGTTCATGTTTAAATAACGTTAAAGAAAACAACTCTAATTGTATTTTTGTAATTAGCGAATTTATAGAAAAAGTTAATAACATATTATAGATTATATAAATAATAAATATTATGATAATACTTGTGAATATCTTTGGTGTTTTACCAATTCGAGAATTATTCTCTTGATAAGTCTAGTTAAAGCTCTATAACTCTGCGAAATTTGCTTATATTGACAAAATAGATGATTTTTGATTACCTCAGTTAATATAAATTAGAATTTTGTGGAAATGATTTTTTGTGTAATTTAAGAAACTTTTTTTATTATTACATTAAATAAAATTGGATTTCGTAATTAAAGGACTATTTTATATTTTATGCAGTAGGGTAGACTGGGTACGGTTGTGCCAGGATACGATAGTGACAGTCGTTATAACAGCTAAGCTATACTGATTTTGAGATAGGGTTCAAAGGGAGAAAGTTGAAGTACGATTGTTCAAACAAGTTTCCATTATAGCAATGAGTCAGCGCCCTATATTGTCATGATCTGGAAACTGCATTGCTTTTATAGAGTTAAAAGTAAGTTTTTTTGTTGGAATTCACATTCACAAATGTTAATGGTACACAGATAATTTTGTTTATTTTTTGTAAGCTGAATATTAGTAGTTATTTACTAGCAAATAGTTTTTACCTATTGTTAGATAATTTATCTCACTCAGTCATAATGATGATTTGTTTTCAAAAGTACGCGTTAGGGACGTCGTGACAAATTTTAGGGTACGGTTGTGTCATGTATTTCTTGCATATTTTGGGTAAAGATTAAACAGATAAAAAAATCTAATTTAGCTAACTAAGAAAAAATACCAGAGAGAAAGGAAAAGGAAAATTCAATATAAGAAAAAAAAAGATTTTACAAAGAATTCTTATTAACTATGTTTAAAAAATATGTTTTTATTATATATTGTTATATTTTATTCAGAAGATTTGTTTAATTGTTTTGTTGTGTTGTGCTACATTTTATTGTTATTAATGATAATAAAAGATGTATGAACCATTCTGGTGTTTACACATATTATTTTTAACCTATTTTTATGCCTGTCGCACCCGTCCCTGGAGGGGGTATTTTTTTCTTGTATTATTTGATTTCATAACTAATTCATCAAATTTGAAGACAGTGTTTTAGCATTTCCACGTAAACAAAGGTTCAATTTACTTTTCTTTCAGCTAACTGGTGAATTAACAAAATAATATGATCAAAAAAAAAGTTGCACAACCTTACCCAGAGTACCTACCTCTACAATTTATCGGTTGATATTTTATTTAATAGTGTTTTCTCTATAGTTTAAAATAGTGTGATCAAATAGAATATAGATATTAGAATGAGTATGGCGATTAAAAAAAAGAATCAAAACGCTTGTTCAAGATAAATTATTTTGGTTTAAAGATAAACAATACCAGGTTCACAATCAAGAAGGATTCTAAGCAAATCACAATTTAGAAGATATCTAAATAATTGTTATCAATTAGTTCCTAAAAATAGAATAAAATAGAGAATGAAATATAGATAAATTGAAATGCATTTGTTCAGTATTATTAGTCCAGTATCAGAAGGTAAAGATAATTTAATCGTGCGTATAATGAAATTTATTCCATGAATACTTTACAGATAAACAAATATAAACTAGTTTAATATTGAAAACCTAAAAAATGTAGCTTAATCTTTCGAGCATTTATTTTAAAATAAATGTAGACAAAGTCCTTAATTAAATTTCTTTCTCTTCATCTAAATCAAATGCTTTATTTCTACACTTGTATCATTAAAACCCTTAAGCACATAAAAAAATTCTATATCATCAAATTATATTTTACCCAGACCAATTGGTACTCACTTTGATTAACTTATCTCTGATCTCCCAGCTGAAAATTCCCGGATTTCTCCTCTTCAATTCGTCTATCCTACCCTCGACTTCGGGCGTAGCTACTCGGGGTTTGGAGCCTCCAATGACTCCCGGCCTGATGCTGCCGGTCTCCTGGTAGCGATTTAATATCTTGGAAACGCATCCATGAGATACTCGCAGTTGTCGCGATATTACGCAGGGACGAACTCCGGCAGCTGCCATTTCCACAATTTTCAAACGAATGTGATTAGGAAGAGGGCGACCGTTTATGAAAACACCTCCTAATTGATTCACTCGCCCTTGACCTTTAAAATGAAAATTAAAATAAATTCTTTATCTCTTCAAATCGGGAAGATTGCTGTACATCTTTATATTATTATTTATTTTCAGATAATTTATTCACCATATTAAGTTTCCAAAATAAAATTTGCATTTTCAAGGCAAATATGAAAGCACTAAAACAACATGCCAATTACCAATGCTAAACAATGTGCCATTAAAATAAAGTTGACGAAGGCTTTTTTAACACTAAACTGCCATGTGATGTGTTCTCACACTATCGTTTTATGACGTTATATTAAATTTGCCTATGACATGATATGAAAAACATCTATTAAATTTTTATACGTAGCGTAATACTGCCATTGGCAGTTACGCATTGCGCATTAGCTATCGGCGACAAAGACTATATAATAATAAAGGGTAGTACTGCCCTAGAGCTGGTCTGTGAGTTGAAGTGAAGAGATTTCTCATTACCATTTCACACCGCAGTGCCCGAAATGGGCTATAAGAAATATTTTTGATCTGTGAAAATGGACATCGCTACTGCACGATATCAGGTTGTCTAGAGTGGAATTCCAACTTATGACCCGTCCACACAAGTCCCGATATTTATGCGAGAATAGTACGTTTTATGATGTGTTCATAGTTTTGCACAAAATTTATCTATTGATTGATTTGCAATACATCTTATATATATATATATATATATATATATATATATACGCATGTGTATATATATACGTATGTGTATATATATACGTATGTGTATATATATATATATATATACGTATGTATATATATATATACGTATGTATATATATATACGTATGTATATATATATATATATATATATATATATATACAAGCATATATGCTTTGATATCCCTATAAGAATTAGATATGCCTTGAATGTGAGAAATAATTTCATAAACATGATGAGAAAATGTTTAGGGTCGTCCCTTCTCCTATGCTGATTAAACCAGCAATTATTCTATTATTCGATCTTATCATTCCATTTATGTAAAAAGTATATATAGATAAAATTATATTAATGAGTTAAGATTAAAATAAAGATAAGTACCCGGATTGTATTCGAGCATTTAAAAGTTAGCATTTATAAATTGTATTAATTGATTTACAAAATTGACAGACAAAAATATATGTTTAATGAAAAAGTATCCTTAAAATCAAAACTATGATTAATGATTCTTTATATAAAATTGAAGTATTTTATTGGGAGCATGAAAAACTGCTTAAAATAATAGAAGATTATTACTCCCTCGTTATTTTTCTGAAATAGTTCTGAAATAAATATATCGTTTGCATGTAATTTTTATATTTTAGGCTTTCACCTAATTTGTATGTTTAAGGCGTTAAATTTTCATTAATAGATTAAATTTTAGTTATAATATTAATATAATCTCTTGTTAAAATATATTTATAAATTTGAACTAACGGATACAGTATTTGATTTCAGAGCTTTTCGTATTATGAGGCACCAAACCATATTCTTTATTATTCCAAAAATTGATCTAAAAGTTAAAATTTTTTCAAGATATTTGAAAAAAAAATGCATATGAGATAAAAAAAAGTTCAGAAAGCAAGTTTTCCAAGTTAATTCCAAAACGTATTTTATTTATATCAATCCAATAATATAAAATATCAGTGCAGATTTAGTTTGCTACGAATAATTTGCAATTGCATTTTTTAAAATGCCTCGGAGTTACATTAAAAGTATGTACCAGTAAGTATTCAGTATTTAATTTTGAATAAGTTTTATTGATGTTAAATTGTTAGACTTGAAAATTACACAAAATATATATCCGATTAAAGTTAATTTACTATAAATAATAAAGCCGGTTAATATAGGTTAACGGTTTGTTTAGCATATATGAGCATAAAAAGAGATATATGAAGAAACATTCAAATGCAATACATAAAAAAATTGATAGGATTGTAATAAGATATTATTTCTAACATTTTATTTACTCTTCTGAATTATTTCTCACAATTTTGTCTTATGAGGCTGCTAAAGTTTTGATTGGCAAAATGATAGAATTTAGAATTAAAATAGTTATAGAATTAGAATATTTTGTATTATTTTATGAAGAATCGAGGTATAATTTAGTGTTACCTGTTAAGGGTAAAATGCAAAATGATTTATTTTATACCGTCATTGCCTAAAAATCTTCTAAATATCATAAAATATGAGAATATGTTTTGTTTCTTTTAAATCTGCAATTAAAATAGCTTTTATATAATTTATTTGCTTGACAAGAATACTCGTCAATATGTAAAATTATGCCACTTCTCATTGAGAAGTATAGCAGAGACTAGGTACAGTTTTCCCAGGGTACGGTAGTGACAGTCGTCATAGCAGCTAAACTATACTGACTTTGAGATAGGGTTCAAAAGGGAGGTAGATGAAGTATGTTTTTTCGAA